ATATGTAAATGTTGAATCATAAGAAACTTTTGTATAGTACTGTAGTCTCAAACTCAAGTTATATGCGGGCGGAATGCATGATCTGAAAGCAGCTGATGAGTGGAATTTTGTTAAACAAATTTTTTAAAAAAATGTAATTAAATTTTTTATTTAATTTTAATTTTATTTTTAAATATTTATTAACACTCATATAAAAAGGAATAATAATGATGTAAAGAAAAATTCAAAACTTATTTTAGGACTGACATCTAAAGGTTGGTATCTGCAAGAAATTTCCCTTGGTTACACTTTGTAATTGAAACGTATTGAGAGCTAATTATTAAATTTCTGAACTTATGTTTATTTCAAATATTTCTAATTTATTAAATTGACCAATAAATAAATTTTTTGAATTAAAAATAAACAAATTAGGAAAATTTGTAAACAGGACAAAACGGGAAAATAAATAATGGCAACCCACTCTCGTTCTTTCATTCATTAAATTTTTCTCCGACACATACAGAAAAAATACGTATGTTTCGAACGCATGTATTTTTAAAATTTATTTGCTTAGATCTTGTACTAGTACTGAAACATAGACTTCAATTTTTTTTCTATTATTTATTCTCTGTTTATTTTTTCTCTGTTTTAAGCCTTGCTTATTATAAATCAAATATCATCAAGATAGTCCTTGTGATAAAATAATTTGTTCAGAAAGTGTTAATTAGTAACTCACATAATAATTCGGAAATTCCATATTTTTGTTGAGATGTTTTGGCAGACAAAGTTTCTTGTTACAATTTTTTATTTTAAATGAAAATGCATCACAAGAATTATTGTCTGTATTTGAAAATTTTTACTTGATTAATAAAATTTCCACATCTGAATTGACCAAGGCAAGACATCACAAATTAACTAGCAACTCTGAGAGAAATTTAACAATTCATCTTTTTTAATGATGGTAAAAGTATTCGAAATATTAAAAAAAATCTTGATGTAAAGCAGTTAACTACTTTTTATGTAATAAAACGATGCAAACTGCTTGGAACTGTTGAAAATGCATTGGAGTTTGGAACTCATTCCAAGCTAACACCAAGGAATCCTAGATTTATTCTATGAAAAATCAAACAGCACCTAAAAATTAGTACCATAAAGCGTTCACCTGATTTATAAGAACTGTTTGCGATAAGAGTTTTAGTAGAATCATTTAAGGCACATGGATACAAGAGGCGACCAGGAAAAAGAAAATTGTTCGTCAAGAAGAAAACGAGGAAAATACGCCAGGCGTTCGCAAAATCTATGACAAGCAAAGTTTTATCATATTAGAACAATGTTATATTTTTAGAAAAGATCAAAATTTAATACACAGTTGGTGACGATAGACGAATTAATAGCTGGCAAAACCCGAATATAGAACTGAAATTGAAAAAAAAACCTATTGCTTTCTATTAAGGAAATTGGTGTAAGGATAATGGTTTGGGGGATGTTACGCTGCCTTTGGAATAAGAAATTTAATGTTTATCGAAAGTAATATGGATTGGGATAAATATGTAAGTATTCTTAATGAAAACCTTTAAGCGTCTTCGAGAAAACTTGGAACGCAAAATGCGTTCAAGTTTTTTTCAGAACCACGATCCTAAGTATACAGCCCTAAATGTTTGCTTTAGGTAATTATACAACTGTCGAAGTTATCAAAACTTTTCAGATTTGTATTGAAGTTATCAAAACCTCCATTCTTTGGATTAAATCCTGTGGAAATACATGGTGATGCACTACCAGTGCGACAAACTTGCACGTTGTGTGGGGAGGCATAAAGAGGATGCGAAATCACGTGGCATTGCAGGCTCCGAAATGCCTTGTACGCGAGCTACGGTTAAAAGAAATAAAGAAAAAGAACAGCAAAACGTTAATGTGACAGAAGTGATTTTATTTTCAAGTTGTACATTGTTGGCGTGTTCAGGGTTTACAGAAGATATTCGAATTCCGACGAACAACTGTCACACATACTTCATAGCGGTGCCATATCGAATTTCTAGCATTCTGGAAGATTCCTGGTGTGTCTCGCATCTCCTCGGCAGCTACAGAGATGCGAACAACGAGGTCTTCAACTGAACCAACGGGGGTCTTGTGTCCCAATATCTTCATTTTATCCAAGCAGAAGAAGTCCAGGTATGATAGGTCCGACGATCTAGCAGGCCAATGTGCCGGACCACCACGACTTATCCCTAACATTTAGATGTTGGCGGACGTAATTGTAATGTGCGCGAGCAAATTACAATGACGACATTGTAATGTGCGCGAGCCCCATCATGTTGGAACCGCATTGAGAGGCACAACGACTGTGGAAGAATATATGTTTTCTCAATAAGTTTGGGCAGGACTTGCTGTAGGAAGATCAATGCCTCCGGTGATCAACTGGGGGTAAACCCCTGCGTTCTGTTTAACACATGTACTTAGACAAACTGGGCTCCTGGGGTACATAACTAATCTTCAGAATGACTAGAACCATCGACAATTCGGTGCTAGGTTCAGGCTGAGCAAGGAGCATATTGGTACTGTCTTGTTTGTCCCTTGGCTGAGGCGATGCTGCATGGTAGCATTATAAAGGTTGATCTCGGGGGTTTAACTCCCATTGGTCAGCAGTGGAAGACGGTCTTTGACGTAGATCTTCGTTTCTCAGTAAGGCGACCGTTGGTGTTCAGTTGTTTTTACTTGTGTTTTATAAAACTGACTGTATTCGTAATTGTTCTCCGGGGCTGACTGTGAGTGGCGCTCCCTTAGATCCTTCTAGGGGTTGAGACGCCAATATTATGTTAAAGCTTTAAAATAGCCCAGGTCAGGGAGTCTCTTCTCTGTAGTGTAGTGTGGGAAGAACAAGTATGCTATACGTCCAGACGAGGGGGCAGAAGGTACAGTCCGAGGAGGTGGTCTCCAATAATGCTGTCCCAAACATTGACAAAGAAATACCTTTGAGCTGCACGTGTTCCCGTAGCAAAGGGGTTTTTGATAACCCCATGATACGCGATGTTACGCTATAAATAGTGTTATGTTGATTGAAGGTTCTTGTGAAAAACTGCGTCCGGGAAAATTACGGACATAGCAAACGTGCTGTTTGTCACACTCTGTTGGAGACAGCAAATAGCAAAATTCCTCTGGAGTGGATAATCTGCAGGCTCAAGGATGCACAGATGATATGAATGCATTTGTTGTGCTGACAGTATCCTCCATACAGTGGGTTGGAACAAACCGAATCATGGCCTATCGCTCGAGTACTTATACATAGATTGCCTTTACTAGCATAGTGCGAATCGTCCTGCGTATAGAGTAATTTGGAGAAAGACTATGGAATTGTGAAATTTCTTCGAATATTCTACTAAAGAAATTCCTACTGAGAAACAGTACAAATTAGAACATTCTTACGCACACACACACACACACACACAACACACACACAAAAAAAAAAAAAAAAAATACTGAATCTATGAAAAAGTGTAGTTTTAGTTAAAAGATACCCAACAAAATATTGAGTGTTCCGTTATTTTCGTGTTTTTATTAAATATAAACTGTTTATTCAAAGTGTCCGTACACTCATGTGAGTTAATTTTTAGAACGTTTTGAATAAATTATGTTTATAACCGAAACGTTTTGTGTAACTTTTCTCAAAAGAAGCAGGTTTTAAAATAGATGATCAAGTGTGTGATAGAATCAAAGAATACTTTTATTAAAATGTTGCGCATTTTGATAACATTTGAGATAAACAATGCGTATCGAGAAACAAGTCTTTTGTTAGAAACGATTTTTGAAAGTTATCTAAGTAATTATGCAACGGAAATTGATGAAAATTTGTCGTTAAAAAGAAACCGCATGCATGGAAAAACTAATGGCGAAATAAATTTTGTCTTTGAAAAACGTGTTAAAATTTACCGAAAGTTTATCGAATTGCCGTTAAAAGAGTTCGTTGAAATGTGAATACATTATAAATGATAAGTTATAGTTTTTTATGTACATACTGCCATTTATATCGAAATTTTTTGTTCTTTTTTCCCTCTTACTGTTCTTTACAAGTGTGAAATCGGAAGTATAAGAAAATTCTTCAGTTGAGGATTTGACAGAAAGTCACTTTATCCCTTTAAATCAGCCCTTCTTCAAGCATTTTACCCTTACGGAATGTTCTGAGAGAACTATTACGAAAATATTTCATACGATTTAGCTGCACATTTTTACGAAGGATGTTTCCAAAGTTCTAGGAATTTAGGTATAATTTTTGGCAGTTTTCATTAATATTACAATGTAGTTTTCGTGCATAGTCCCCGTACATATCATTAGTATTACAATGCAGTTCACTTATTCCAACGAAAAACTTATTTGAACTTTTCGGCGTCTCCTTAATTCATCTGTTTATGTCATGATCAAATTGAACACCCTGTAAAGGATTTTCCAAATGTGGGAACAGTATTCTTTTCACACACCATGAACAAGTTCTGAAGTTTTCTCACCCTCTTTTCAAAAAAAAAAAAAAAAAAAAAAAAAAGAAAGAAAGAAAACGATTGCACTTCGCTTCTTCCATGGTTGCAAAAACCATGCTACAAAAATGCAGCTGTATCAGTCAATCAACTGAATCGAACTAACAAACCAGATGAACTTTTTGTGTTGTACTGAGAGTTGAATCAATTGAAATTCACACAACGATAACTGCAGCTCTGGCTGACACCTCTCAAAGCATTTAAATAGGTTATTAAAATGCTCCATTTTAAGAACGACATGTTTCAAAACTTGGATGGCAAATAAATTCAGACGACAATTCTTTAATGCGATCCGCGTGGAACAAAATAAGAGTAATGAGTGGAATCATTGTTAAAACAATTGGCGGATTAAGAATTGGTTCATGGGCCGTCAGTGCTATATAGGCAAAAATGTCTTGACTTGATGCTTATCCTATTGAGTGAACTTTTCAGTGATTTACTACATAAGATAGTAGAAGTGTCAGAGTAGAAGAAGTACAAAATTTTTCTTCCTTCCAGATTTCTTTAAATTTTCCAAACACCGAAGAAGCTCACCATGAACCCTTCTAGCAATCTGTCGTCAGACTACAGGCCATACAGTGGTGGCCGACCCGCTTGGGCAGTGGCTGATGGTGCAAGTGACTCTGGTCGGGATCTTGAAGATCAGTACGAAAGCGATTTAGTTGAGCATCGAGCGGATGTTGTTCCAGAACCAGAAAGGACAGGATGCTGGTATAGTTTCGTCAGGGTCATCAGAGGTAATTTCATTTCATCTTAATTTTGTTAATAGATTCTATAGCAAAACAGTTTGATAAATGTTAATTCTGTGCTTACAAGGTACTGAAATAGTGCATGCATTTTAATTCAAAACAAGCTTTTAATTATTTAAGCGGTCATTAGTCTTTTAATAATTACCAGAAATCACTAATAATTGAGAATTCCACCTCGCTGACCTACATTTACATTGGATACTGACCACATTTTATCTGTTTAAATTTTAAAGCTTTGAAATGTTTTACATTTTAAAAAGGACGTCCAGTCTTTTCAAATAGTAGTTTGACGTCTTTTTACTTTCTTAATGTATTATTTTATAAATATGTTTCACAAGCATATTTCATCCAGTATGTAATAAATATTTAATTTTCCATGTATAAATTAGAAAAGAAAGAAAATGCCTGAAATTGTATACTTTTCAAATAGTAACTTTCTCAGTCAGACTATAAATATCATGTATTAATTATGCCAAATTAAAAAATGAAACTGATCTTTAAAAACTATTTTGAAATTTTTAGTTTTTAGTTAAATACTAAGAATAACCGCTTGCCAGTTGTGTGTTAAAAAACTACAAAGAAAACGTTTCTCCAGCCCATGGACGATAATTCGTAACCACCAGGATTTGGCTATTGGGTCCCCTTAACCTCAGTTACCCTTGAAAAAAAGGGGAATATATACCGTATATACGAGATAAGTATATACCGTATATACGCGTATATACCGTATATACGCGTATACCGTATATACCGTATATACGCGTATAAGTCGAGATATTTTGGACAAAAAAAAGACAAAGTGGGAGGGTCGACTTATACGCGGGGCCATAAAAAAATTAAAAGAATCGGAAGTTCAAAAATTTCTTTATATAATGCAGTTGTTTTCTTCCCGCACTCAAATTGGACGACTTATCAAATAAGTCGCTTACTTGAAGTAATTTCATGACTTAAATTATGTGGCGAACTAATCACAGAGTGTCATACTTTAACTAACGTAAGTTTCGATTAAACCAAAGAATTTCGGCCACCGAACTATAAAAAGCCCGATATTACATTAATTGCTCAGTGGGTTAAAGATGCTTGGAACGAAATACCCTCTGAAATGATTATAAAATCATTTAAAAAATGTTGTATTAGCAACGAACTAGACGGCACGGAAGATGATGCTGTTTTTGAAAGTGAAAATGACAACGAAGGCTCTAGTAGTGATTGTAACAATACAGAGTTCGAGACTGAAAATATGTATGATGACGAGCCAATGACGACAGAAGAGTTCTATGAAATGTTTAGCGAATCTGACTATGAATCGGACGTTGAAGGATTTCGATTTTGTTTATTTACCAAGGTATTTTTTATCGTATATTTACTTTTTTTTCTCAGATGATTTTGAATAAATGTAGTACTTAAAAAAAAATTTTCGAAGTTTCTCGATCGATTTCGGAAGTGGGGGTCGACTTATACGCGGGTTTCTTATTTTCTACGAATTTTTTATGTTGAAGGGGGGGGTCGACTTATACGCGGGTATATACGGTAAGTTATTTTTCTCTCCTTTCCGCATTGGTGTAACTGAGAGCACACTTAATACGTATCGGAGAGCACACTTAACACGTTCGGAGTTCGAATCCCGAATAGGGCATTGCACATTTTTCATATCTCCATCATCAGAATCCCTAATATACTCTGCAAGGTTTGTGATATGATTATAACTGTACCCTTAAAATATCTGCCTTTCTGTTTGGTTATGACGGGCCGTTGGGATACTTCAAACTGATAAAATCATGCCATCTTGTTTCCCCGATTCCAGTTTCCTAAATTCCAGTCTCGGAAGGATTATTCGAAGTTTCGATCTGCAGTCAGTGTCTTGCAGTCTCCTGCAATCAGTGTCGAAACCTATCGAAGCTCCAGGTAGGTAGTAGAGGCCAATTGGAACACGGACGCTTGTTAATAGTTTAAAAGCAGTCATAGTACTCTTACGGCAGATATAATGTTTTGATTGCGCAGTTTATTTATTTATTTGCTATGCTCTTTGTAGTTAGCAGAATCGTCTTGTATCTGCCGTGCTATTTAACCTTTTTTAAATGCCTTGCAAATATTGTATGTCATGAATGTTGCTATCCTGGAAAATGATCAAGACTTAAAATTTGAAGCAGGGCGTAATTGTTTGGCATAAAATAGAAAAATCCTAATTTAGAGATCACTTATGTAACTGAAATTTTCAGTTAGAAAATTACAGCGAATCAAGTGTGACTGCATTGATTCTGATTTACACTATTGAAAGAACTCTTAAGATCATTTTTAAAATCCATGTGAATTATATCACTCAGCGGCACCCGAACAACATTCTGGCGTGAGAGCTTGCTGATGCGGCGTATATCGTATAACAGAAAGATGAACCAAAGGGTGACCATATTACGTGCGACGATACATTTGAATATAAGATTTTTAGTGAGATGACTGTTTATTAGGTACATAGCTTAATAGTTTGCTACATTGTTAGGTACGCAGGTAAACAGCAATTTGGCGAATTTTACAGATGGTGGAAGTTACTTATTGGATGAGAGCTGGTGGTTTTCACTCTTGATTTTAGAAAAAATCCCAAACTATCGATATTTATCGGTCAACAAACATTGCCAATACATGAAAACGTATTTTAGCAATTTAAAATACATATTTTAATTATTAAATAAACATTACCTTATACATTAAAAAAAAATACATTCGTATCCAGATCTTACCTTTTTTTTTTTTTTTTTTTTTTTTTTTTTTCCCCGCCGCTTTGTCAAGTGTAGAGCAATCTGTTTTCTCTTTAAAAACACGAGAAAGTTGCAAAGACTCGGCATCGCGCAAACCTCGGCAACTCGGACTATCTAATACGCATCTCCTCGTTTTTCCTTTACAGATTTTGCGCTAAAATTCTGTATTCTTGCAAAACCGCAATTTTTTTACTGCAATTTTTTCGATTGCTTACACATTCCACACAAGCACGTGGTTTAAAATTAAATTTAAGGCAAAGAATATCCTTTATTTATGAAAATCGTTGGAGCATGGAACAAATCAAAACGTAGGCATGCTAAGATGGCGACGGTGCTTGACTGAATGTTTTGAGCATGGTTGCATGAAGAATAGTTGCCAAAGTGTGGCACAATCAGAAAATTTGGTGATTTTTTCCAAGATGCTTACAATAACACATAAGTACCGTTTATTATTTTAGTTGACTGATATTGTATTAAATTGGATGCTAAAATGAGTATGAATGTTTAGCGCTGAAACTGAATTAAACATTCGACTTTATCGGAAAAAGCAACTAATAAATTATACACGTTTCAAAAAGAATATATGCATTACAAAGTGTTATTTTGTCCAAACTATCGATCACTGTGCCTCTGCTCGGTTATTGGCGAAACAACGAATACATAGTCTAGTTTATATTAATAGCCGCTAGATGTCAGTTGTCTTCTGTTTTGCGTGATAACCGTCACATGTTTAAAATGGCTACTTCGCAGCAGAAATCATTTTGTGTTCTCGAGTTTGGGAAGTGCAATTTCGTGATTACAGGCCAAAGACTTTTCAAATTGAAGTACCAAAGTGATCCTCCGAATGGGTGGAACATTCTCAGATGGTATCGACAATTTGCAAATACAAGGATGTGTATGTAAAGGAAAAAGTCCTGGCCGCACTCGTGTTCCCGACGAAAATTTTGCACGAATTCAAACTGCTTTCCAATGTAGTTCTTCAAAATCAACTCGTCGTTCCAGTCGGGAGTTACAGTTGCCTACCACAACAATTTGGCGTACTATGAGACGTCGTTTGGTTATGAAGCCGTACAAGTTACATTTGTTACAGGCTCTGTATCCTGATGACAAACGCAAACGTATGGAATTTTGTAACGAGATTATTGATTCTATTGACAATGATAACACTTTCGCACACCGCATCGTGTTCAGTGATGAAGCGACTTTTCATATTAGTGGTCATGTAAACAAACACAATGTTCGAATTTGGGGCCTACAGAACCCACATGCTGCCAATGAACATGTACGAGATTCGCCCCAAATCAATGTGTTTTGTACGATATCCTGATTATCTGTTTACGGCCCATTCTTCTTTGATGGAAACACGGTTAACGGTCATCAGTATCTCGCTATGCTACAAAACTGGTTGTTTCTGAGGCTGCACGAAGACAACTTCATTTTTCAACAAGACGGGGCACCCCTTCACTTGTGTCGCCAAATGCGGAGTTATCTGAGTGAAACTCTACTAAGCCGTTGGATTGGTCGTCAAGAAGCTGGCGACCTAGCATGTCTCAGCTGGCCTCCACGGTCACCGGATTTGACATCCTGTTACTTATTCCGATGGGGTTTCATTAAAGACATCGTTTATGTACCACCACTCCCACAGAACCCGGAAGAGGTGAAGAACCGGATAAGTACTGTCATAACATCAGCGACGACGGACACGCTTGCCCGAGTACGCGAGGAATTTGGTTATCGATGTGATATTGTTCGTGTCGCTGATGGAGGACATATTGAACATATGTAATCTGAACTTGAGAGATTCGTACATATGTGTGTAAAGTTTCATATTCGTATGTCATACAGTTTAAAAAATATATGCATTCTAAATATGTATATTCTTTTTGAAACAAGCTGTATTTAAAAAAATGATAGCATCCAAAATTAAGCTAAAATTACAGCAATCTTATATTAGCAACAGCAATTTGATTAACTTTGAAATTCTGTCTGTTTAAAGTCATGTAAGCGGTGAAACGTATGCAGCTCTGAATGTCAGTTTACCAGGAGACTTCAAATAGATTTTAAAGGGATAGGAATTTATCTTTCGAAAATATGCAGAAAGAGTATGTACATAAATTTCAAGGTTTTCAAAGATGCTAATAATGTTTCAGTATGTTTGCTACTCCATTCTTAGTTAGCGTTAAATTTATTTTCGTTATAATGAAATGCGTGGAGTTACAATTAAATACGTAATTTGAATAAAATTCATTCAGGAGAACTTTTATAATCATTAAATGAAGTACAAATAAATATATTTTTCATTGTTTGTAATGAGACATATTAATTTAATGAGGCATTTTCATATTAAACAGACTATTTCTTTTTTTTTTTTTTTTTTTTTTTTGAAATTTTTCATTTATTTCATTAAAATTACTAGAAAGCATGTGACAAAATGAAGTAGGAGAAGCCAATGTAATACATTATATGAAATGTTTTCTTCGTACATGAAGCATCTAGCGCTGGGGTTCCCCGTGGAGTCGATATGGACCTCCTAGGAGCAAAGAAATTTTAAAGGATGTAAGTGATGAACAACAGGTCGATAGCCAAATATGCACCGACAACTGTTATAAGTTGTAAGTTGTACCTTCCTAAAAACATAATTCCATATTTCACAAATAATCCCTATTCCTGATATTATATTTTGGTATTACATGATAATTAACATGCATTTCGGCAAGCAACATTTTTCTATAAATAAATATTTTACTCGAAAATATTGAATATATTCTTCGCAGTTGTTGCCACCTCTGTCAAACTGAAAATAAAAGCATTGGTATTAAGAAATCAGTCTTAATGTCTACATTAAAATATTATGCTTATATTTTTTCACGATTGAATATACTTTTGGATTAAAATGAAAATACAGTTTCATTAGATGCAGCAGTCGAGGTTATATTGTGGTCATCTCTACATATAAAAGAAAGAGTCTGTGTGTCTTTTCATTCGTGCCGCATGTAAGCTAATAGACACAGGGATACAAAATTTGGCATATAGGTGCATCTAGAAAAGAGCCAGTGCACCTCGAAGCGATTTTTTTTCAAAATTTGAATCAGACTTTTTTTTTTTTTCCCTCCCTCGAAGCTTTTTAATCAGCTATTATTTTAATACTTTCATTCTTTTAGAAATGTGGTTTTGGCAACAGTTTTTCATTCAGTTGTATACTGGACTGCAGACTGTTGAAAATCAGTACTGTTGCCATTTGGAAAAATGAAGGCGATATTTCTTTGCAGTTTTTAATTTTAATTTATCTCTTGGATACTGGACGTTTGTCGAGAGAAGGCAACGAGAAGTTGATTAATTTATTTATTAGGATAATTAATATTTGTATTAACGGATATTGCTTATTTCATTGTAATTTTGTTATATGTAATAAAAATGTTTCGATAATTTTTTTTTTATGGAGTTATTCTCCAGAGTAAAATTCTGCGCAGTTTTTTAATTTAACGTTTGGTATTCCCTTCGGGCATTTTCCCGGTACATTTAAAAGGCAGACGAAAACTGGCAGCGTAGCTGCTAGTTATTTAATATTATAATCCTGATGAAGCTCTTGGAACAATTCTATCAAACTTGCAGGGTATGTGTATATATATTTTGAGCGGGGAGCTATTCAGCTTAGAATTTCTGAAAAGTTGGACTTTCTGATGTAGGCAGTTCCTCTTTTTTTAAAAATGACCGCTGATCATTAAAATGCATATAAATAAATATATTTTAATACTTATTGTAATGAGGAATATTAGCTTAATGACGCATTTTCATCTTAGAACTGACTTTTCTTGTTTGAAATCTGATTTTTCTTAATTCCTTTGAAATGACGAGAAAGCATGGGACAAAATGAAACTAGGAGAAACCAGTATAATACATTATATATATTTTTTGTCTTTTCCTATGAAACATCTAGCGCTAGGATTCCAAACGGGTTCGGTATGGACCCCCTGGTGAGGGATGGAAATTTAGAGGGTGTCAGTGATGATCAAGGAGTCACTTGCCGAATATGTATCAACAACTGATGGGCCTAATCAAGATATCATTGATTACAAAAAAGTTATTAATAAAATTGATAATTAATGTTTTATTGCTATAAAGCTGTATCAGTAGTAAGGAAGAAATCTTATAAAATAAATGCAAAAGAAAAATACACTAAGACTGTTTAATATATTTTAAAAATCAATAATATTTAATGCGGTATTCTTTTCGTTTTGATTTTTAGGATTTTGACTTATTAAAAATCAATAATATATTTTTTCAAATATGTAAATGTTTTATGCTTATAAGGTATTTCTTCCGCTTTCTTAGCATACCTTCGTGGTGTAATGAACAGCAAATTCGGCGCGTATTCGAGAGGTCCATGGTTCGAGTCCCGGCGAGGGCATTGATCATTTTTCATCTTTCCTGTTTCAAAAAATACCTAATGTCTCTACAGTGGCTTCCGAACTTGGTGGTGGATGATGATTCAGGATTTAGCAATTGGGTCCCCAAATCCCCAGCCACCCTTTAAAAAATCAAGTATATAGGGTATTTCTCCCGCCTTCTTAGCATGATTTCATGGTGTAATGGTCAGCACACTTGGCGCGTATTCGAGAGGTCCGTGGTTCGAGTACTGGCGAGGGCATTGCTCATTTTTCATCTCTCTTGCTTCCAAAATATCCTAATGTCTCTACATGCTGTAAGAGCAGTATAAAAAAGTAAAACGCAAGAAACAAAAAAAGGTAATAAAAAAATACGAAAAACGCAAAACTAGAGTGGAAAACCGGAAACAGTTTGAATATTTTTAACGAGGTGATAGCAAAATTAAATTAAGCGATTTTATGCCAAATATTAAAAAAAAATTGCATCAGTACATCAAGAACAACCACCACATTCATTAAAATCGATTTTTTTTTGCAATCAGAATCTGTGATTTTATTTTGGAAAACTTGTTTATATTTGTAAAATTAAAAATAATAATAATACAAAAATAAATCTTATAAACCATTTTTTCGAAACTTCTGTTCATATTCTTAACCTAATTGTTATCTCACGTTATTTATATGCTGTTATTTGTGTTAGGATTATGTTGTGGTCTCTATATTGTAGAGGAAAATCTAAGCTTGTCGATGCAGAAAACAAATTCCTTTTAAGGGGGATCGATGCAGGTAAAAGGTTGGGAATCCCTGATCCTATCGGGATCACCATTCAGTAAACTGGATTAACAATAAGTATGAAAACAACTTGTAGAGTTAGGATTAAGATTTTTTGATGCTGGAGACGAAAAAAATATGCAGTGCCCTCACCAGAACTCGAACCCTGGACCTGTCGAATATGCTTCGAGTAAGCTTCCAATTACACTACAAAGGCAAGAGGGAAGGCGGGAGAAAAGACCTTATAAACTATTAAAAATGAATCATTTCTGCTTAAGTTAAAATGTAATAGTCATAAATTAATGAAACATGCACATACGCACACCAATGATACATTGGAAACTGGATTAATGTAGATGATAAACACTCGACAAAATACGCACATAACTAAGCAGTATCAAAAAACTAAATACTTGCGAATGGTAGATATTCCATAAAACTATACCTACATAGATGGCATACTGAAACTTGAACACCTGTGAGTAATAGATAGTTTGCAAAATATACATACAAACAGCAATGATATAGCTATAATTGGGCTCCGTCGAATGATGCATAGTCCACAAAAGTCGGAAAATTATGGACAGATTTATGCGTTTACCTATGAGGAATAAGTATGATAAGGATTTGATAAAACATTTAAACCTTATTGCCTTTGTAGCAAAGCGAAGCTATTAGAAATTCAGTTTTTTATATCTTTTATAAATCGGAATGCGAGATTATAACCACTGAAATCATTATAAGCTTAATTTAAATTTTAAATGACCCTAAACTGATCGGTACTTAATGAAAATATTGATTAAAAACTGAGCGAATATGCGAAATGTACTCAACATTCTAGTTCCATTCAGTGAGAGATCTAAATGAGAATGCTTATTTTGAGTTTGTGTCAACGGTTCATAATGAATTACTGTTTAGTTGATTATACGTTTACTACTGTTTATTTATATTTCAATCTGCTGTTGATAGCTTAAGAATTATTTTCATACGATTAAAAACCAGTTCGTGTTCCGCATATCCAAAAACTTGTTTGCACTTTTTCTAACAGTTACGCATATAATAATACCATAAAACATTGTGTCACTATGCTATCAATAGACAATAGAAAAAATCAACTGAAAATAAAAACGTGTTTTCTTAATTGTTTAACACTGAATAATCTGAAAACTTTAGGATGCAAAGTAAGGTGCTACTGCATTAGCCGAAGCGAGAAATTTAGTCTAGCATGTAGATTTTTTTTATTTATCGATTATGCAAGGATTTTAGAAGTGAGAAACGGAATTAGACAGAGATTAAAATTTAAAAAAAAGTTCGAAGATTTATTCACAAATTTTGAGAATCTTAGAAAGCTTTGCTTAGCTTTGCTTTTTCATGAACTGATGTTGAATTCAGCAATTAATTTAATATGAAGCCTTTTTTTATTGTTTTTATTTTAAAGTTATCAGTTAGGAGATTAATAACTATTTAAATAAAAATTACAGGATTATAAACTCACCACTGATTCAGCAGACAAAACCGTTAACTTCGTTCTAATGTCCAAGGAAATGTAGATCTCTTGATGTTTTGATGGCTTCTTTTATATATTGCATAGACACAAACTAATTCTTCTTAAGAGTATTTATCACGAATTTTAAAATTGTTTTAAGATAATAATTTTTGCTCCTCTATTAGAATTAACTAAATACCTCTAAATATTTCTTCTATTTGGGCTATAAAGGTGCACTTCGAAAGGAAAGTATCGAATCGAAACTAATCCAGCGGTTGAATGCGACAAGTTATCTTACGTCTCATGAGAATCTTTATCACAGTTTTTAATCACCTCGAATGAAACAAAAAAAAGAATAAAAGAAGAGATATTATTCAGCAGATAAGAAAAGAATATTCACACTGATTGCAGCGAATATAAAAGTAGCGTGTTTCTGATTTCCACATAAAATTTGTTTAAGAACATAGAACAAACAGCACCTCAAACTGAAATTCCTAGCCACTGTTTGTTTCCAGTTTACCTACTGGTAACCAATCACATATGTGACTATAATTTAAGTGTCCAAGCACCACCCACTGCGCGAGAATCCTCGAGTAACCTTAGAAGTGTTATGAGCTTAGAAAGCAATCCAATCCTCTATATTTAAATTCTCGGAGTTGCCGAGGATTTCTATGGTTTCTAAGTTAAATTTTATGATCTCTTCTTATAAATTTGTTTTTGCTGACTTAAATATAGCGTTTAATTTCGTTATTTTGCTGATGAATTCTTGATCTTAATTTGATTTTAATCAATAAGTTATTTTCTTCGATTCCGATTCAACATGTGCTCTGTACAAGAAGTTTTAAACTTCTTACATATTTTTACAGCTCTTACATATTTCAGTTGAAAAATAAAAGAATATGTAAGAAATTAAATTAGCTGCGTAAATTAATTGTCCTTCTCTGTTCTAAAAATAGTAACCTCTATTTGCACTGCGTCATTTCGAGACTAGTCTATGTCATATGATTCTTACGTAATTCTGATGATGTAAATGGAACTAAAACTCTGACGGCCAATAGTAATTTTACAACAATATTAACTATTCAATCAAAATGCATTGAGAACCAAAACTAACTCTCTGAATTAAGATTTCGCCCTGAACATAACGCGCTTGCTTTCTATGCTTTGGCGTAGCTGGACTGCAGTCTGCTTCTTCTATCTTACTGGAAATCGATCTAAAATGTAAACTTTTTGGAATGGGCACATTTAATGTGCCAACTTGTTTGTGGCCGCAACATGTTGCTGAAAATTAAAAAATGAAGATTTAATCTACCTTTGCTTCCAATTTCCTATTCATTATGGATCAACACTTTTACGCCATCAAAATTCCTTCTGATCATTACTTCTGAGTTTTTTTTTTATTACACACACACACACACACACACACATATATATAAAGAAACTTAATTATATATAGTAGCAGTTTAATGCAGTAGTATCAATTACGTGGTCAGTGGTAAGGTATTTGTTTGTTAAAAGTAAGTTATAGATAGATTTGAACGAAGCGTGTTTTTAGTTTAAATTTAAAATTAATAATAAAAAGTAAATGTCATACTATTTCACACAAACATCAGAATTTTGTGGAAATCATTCATATAAGATTCAGTAAATATAAGACTGAATAAAGTAAATATTTGTATGGAAATTTTGTACGCATCTGAATTTGTGCCAAAACCTCTCTTTGGCCATTACTCTTTTTATCTTAAATTTAGGTAATAACATTATATATCGCTGATATCTTTGGAGCTCATCATGATATTTGACATCTATCAATATCAATTTGCCTGATCTACTTCCATCACCGAAATAGCTGCTTTGTTTATAATTCATTTTCTACATGATTCAATACCTTTGCTAACGTATCTCTTGGCATTATATAAATCATTCTTGGTAAAGCGACATAATTCTGTGCAGCAATTGCTTTAACAACGTCATGGGTATTTAGCCCCGAATTGCGAAGCATGTCCAGGCCATGTTGGTGGTCGGTCTCCATGGGAATCCTGATCCTCGAACCGCGACCACATTCCATTTGCCAGATTGAGTCGTGAAACATTAAAAACTGGGCGTTTTAATATCAGGATTGTGAAATCCGGGGTAGTTTGTTACCCCATGCGTAATGAAAGCTGTGATATTACATATGATGTTTTGTTTTTCATTTTCTCTAATTTGTTTCCCTTGCAATTCATTTTGGTAATGGTAGCAAAAATCCATCATTCGAAAGGTCGTTGTGACCTTTAAGTCACTGAAATGGATACTATTAGACCGAGATATGCTTTATTTAGAACTTAACGAAGAATTTATTTTTATAAACAATTCCTTATTGCGCCTACTTGTGCGGTAATTTATAAAAATGACAGGAAGCAATCGAATAATTAAGTTACTTTTAAGTTAGCAACCAGTAACAAACTGTCCATCGAAGCACCCGTAAATTTCAGCTGCTCCTCAATTAAAATCAATGCAATTCATTGTGATTAAGTAAATATTTTTAGAAAACTAACTTAGTTACTTGCTAAGTAGACAGATTTCGGCGGAACATGTAATATGCTTCATCACAAAAACATTCAGAGAAAAAGTTCAATTAGAATCAAATCTAATAGGAAAAGTTCTTTAGGAATCTAATAGGAAAACGTTTGACAAAATGCTTAATGATTATTTGTTAACTATGTGAAATGATGCATTGTAATTCATATTATTCTTATTGTTATACTAATTCTACATTCATATTATTGTTTTGAAACAGCTATTCTGCTATGTTTCTGCTTCTAAATTGCATTAAGATAGGATTTAAAATATAGTTTCGTAGTCAGGGTTTGCGTGCGTTTTAGTTTGATACTGAAGCTTATAACACATGCGCCTTTCCTATAAAATATATTACTTATAAATTATTAGCAAAAACTTTCATTAATAATAAATCGCTTACCACAAATATTGAAATTACCATTTATTTTCATTTGATGATAATGACAAAATTGTATTTTTGCAAAATCTGGAAGCTTAAAAAATGCTAAATAAATAGAAAAAAAGAAATAAAAGGTACCGAAGTGAAATTGCCTTTAAATGTAAAACTCTGTGCATTAATTACTTAGAGAAAAGTTTCAGCAGTTACTATGTTTTATTTCTTTTATAACATAAGGAGAAAAATAATATGAACGCATTACATTTTAGCGTAGGTTTACCGTATTAATTCGCATACTTCCCCCCTTTGTTCAGCATGTGATTCAGAAATTTCTGATTTATAAGAGAACAATGTAAAATATATGCAGAAATAGGAAAGTATTTTATGTAAGTTAAAAGAATATTATTTAAATTGGTAAATTCTTTGAAATACATAATATAATCATATTAATATGTCTTTAAGTTTTATCGTTTAATTAGGTGCTTTATAGTTTAAGTCGTCTCTTCAGAAATAGTGTAAGCGGTGTAATTTTCCTCTGGCTGTTTTCAAGCGGTAAAATTAGTAGTAGGATACACGAGTAAATACTATATTTCTATATTTTACTGCGTTACGCATTTATAATTTAAATATATTCATAGAGAAATATTAAATTTTTAGACTGACAGTTCTTTCAAATAATTCTAATATATTTAATTAATCATTAAATAACTTATTTCAAGTTAAATTAAAAATAAGCAAATTATGAAAATTTTGTTAATTTTCAGGGAAAACGTTCCAAGTGCGGCAAAAGATGAGAAGTATTGACAATTTAGTCTCTCTTTCTTTCTTATTCATTACATTTTTCTTCGATACATAAATATTAAAATACATTTGTTTGTATGTAAATTATTATAAATATTGTATGTAAATAAAAGCTTCTTTGTATAATATTCGTGCACTGGAGAAAAATTACAAGAAATTATCACGGTTGGTAAATGCTCATCGGTGAACTGGTTTCTTATCTTATTAATTTTCAACTGTGAAAACAGCTGTTCACAAATAAATGCATTGAGCGAACAAAGCGATTATTTTTAGCGCAAAATTTCATAACGGATTTATATTTTGACAAGTACGAATGAATGTTATATCTTCAAATCTTTGAATAAGATTTATATCACATTTAGCTGAATTATTATCAGATTAATTAGCTGAATGTATAGGTTTTCTGGTGAGTTATTCACATTAGTTTTTAATAGTAATGAAAATGATGTAAACTCGAATTTCCAATATATAAAATCTTGAAATATTTGCAGCATTATGTATTCGCGGACCGCATAAAATTACTTTGGGAGCCACATGTGGACCGCGGGTTGCCACTTTGACACCACTAGATTAAGTAATAAATATTATTAGTATGTAGACTATCTTGAAAAGTTTTGATCACTAAAAAATTTTTTCAAAAAGGAAAGCTCATTCACAAACTTTTAATTCATGTTCTAGAAAATAGTGACAAGCTTCAAATGTTGGCACATAGCCAAGAAACATTATTTTTAGGCTATAATAATAATGAATTTTTTGTATGACTATTAGAGTTGCATATGTATTGAAATTAATACTAAACTTGCATATATATAATTAACATATTTTTAACATTTGAAAACTTATTGCGTGAATATGCCTTCTGCATACCAGATGTAACAAAATTTTAATTATGTTGCGTATTAGTAAATTATTGTTAGTGTATTAGTAAATCACAAAGGACTACTACTACTACTCGCCGCTGAGCAGGCTTCCGACTAGGGTACCACACGGGATTTTCACCTGCTCATCGGATTTGAACTACTTCCGGTCAAACCCCAGCCAAAGGCTAGGGTGAAAGTACAGACAGCATTACTGGGTTTAAAAAAAAAAAAAAAAAAAAAAAAAAAATAGTAATAACATGGGCAAACAAGGCTCTTGAAGAAGGTACAGTTTTTAGCGAAAAAACACTTACTGAGTTGTTCTACTAATAAACAGAGTAATTCCGGAAAACATACCAATAGTGAAACAACATGAGCAATGAGCATACAAGGCTTTGGAAGAGGATACATGTTTTCAGTGTAGAATATATAAGGTGGAGGCACCGTATTGTAGACAATGATATGCATCTAGATAAAAATGCAGTTAAATGTAAATATAATGATGTTAACACTCATTTATAAATCATATGTTCAAAACATTTAAAGCCTACATTTCACTTCAAAGTGTTCAATTACATTTTAAGGCATATGTTACAATCGTTTTATCCTGCAAGAATCAAGAATTGCTATAAAATGCTGGGCTGTAAAAGACCTATGATGT